TATTTTTGATTCAGATTTGCTATCAAGCTTAAAATTCTTTGATCTGAAATGATTGGAATTGATGCTTTTTGCCAGATCTGTTTTAATTCGGTTAAAATAAGTCGCGAAATGTTATTTACGCTAGGATCTTTTCCATTGGCACTTTCTTTTAGCAAATTCCTATTCCACAAATAACACTTCATTACGTCAGAGTTTGTAGGAAGGACATTTCCTAGCAAATCAGTAGGTAAACCAAAAACTTCACAAAATAATTCTTTACGTGTTTTAGGCATTTTATATTTGAAAAAAAAGTATAAAATCAGTTTGGTCGTCAATGGTAACTGCGAAAAGGAATCTAGCAAAAATTAGAGATGTGCATACAAATGAAATTGAATTGTTTCAGATTTATATATTAGTTTTCATTGTTGCTAAGCATAATCAAGAATTTTAGGAGATGTTGTGTACTGTGTAGTATTTTTGAGCAGAATCGACCATTTTTATACGTTAATAGTCGAGACTTTACTTGTGTTAATAGTGAAAATCTAAAGGAGCCTAGAGGAACCTCAAGACGTATACAAAAGTGGTTTAAATTTTAGTGATTTATTAATTGACCTAAAAGACATCTTTTGACAACACAGGCATTTGAAATTTCGAAAAAAAAATTTTTCACTCCACCCTAATATACATATATACAAAATAAACAAAAGCTTACATATTGTGGTTTAGATATATAATCCCAAAACATGCGTGAGTACACCTATGCGATCACACATGTTCCTGGCATCATCGTACGTCGAGAATTAAAAATACTAAACAATAGACTTACGGTATAATACAATTCAGTTATTAAACAAGATAAATACAATGTCATAACTCATTTGTTCATACCCATTCATTCCCATATATGCTCATATTCAAATTCTGGTTCTGTTATGTTTTTAAAGTCACGTGTTTTATATTGCATGTCTTTGTTGATATAAAATCCAACTCCTCCTCCGTGCTTCAAAATTTGATGTCTTCCTGCAAATGCAAAACCATCAATATCTATCAGACTTTCATTCGTTTTATTTAACCAACTTTCACTTATAGCTATGATATCAAAATCAAACACAACTGTTCTCAAAAGATCATCAATTTCCTCACATTTATTTAATAGGCTTTTTGAATTTATATGCATTAATTTTAACAACTTGAAATGATTGTCTATAGACTTAATTTTTTTTATATGTTTTATTCAAATTCTCAACATTGAATAACTTGCATGTTTTTATTACTTGTGAGCTGTTGTCTTCTTCTTCATCCTCTTCAAAAACCACTGTGAAATTTGTTTTGTTATCATCCTTTTTTTTGCTGTTTGTTGTTTGTTTTTATTAAATTGCCATTCCCGAACAATAATGTCATTTGGTATGATGCTTGGGTCTTTCATTACTGTCAATGCATATGCGGAATGATGTTGACTCTCTGTTGTTTTTTTCTGTTTGATCTTTTATTTCTGACTCCAATTCTGATTTTTTGAAGACTGGGAAACAAGTAAGTACTTTTATCCCATTTGAACTTAAGAATTCTTCAACATCTGTCCTGTTACATTTCTGAACATTACTCATTGAGTAGACAGTTTTGTTTACTAGTAGTTTTTCAGCTTTAAGTTTACAATTTTCAGTAATTTTTTTGCCTATAATTCTTTTGATTTGTTGTTTGACTGTGTTGTCTTTATTTTTTGACTGACCCACAACAGTGAATTGTCCGCTGTTCACCATCTCTTGCTCAAAGACATCTATGTCCGCATTTCTCCCACTAGCTGAATGCCAAGGAGGTGTAGGTTGATGGGTTCTTGGTAGAGATCTAACTGCATCTGCCCAATGCAATTTATTCAAATTTGAGTTGTTACTACTAGGAGGTGGAGGTTCGCTTGTCTTTATGTTTGTTTTATTTAGTAGTTGATTTTCACTATACTTGTCGAACATGTTTGCATTATTTTGACTGTGCTAATTCGCATTTGAAGCTTTGTTGGTAGAATTGTTTAGAGTAGTTTCTATGTGATGCAATTTGGAAAATATTGTGTTGAAATTGAATTGCAACATTACCACATGCGACGGCACCTTTTTGTCATCAATACTTACGTAACACGGAATTTTTTCAGTTTGTTTGCAGTTCACAATGTTATTAATTATTGGCAGAATATCCAAGAATTTTTCTCTTTTTGTTCAAGTTTTTGAATGTTTCAAATATTCCAGCTTTGCGGTTTCCATGTCTGTGATTATTTGCTGTCGAGCATTAGTAATGTCTTCACTAGAATAGAAACGTATAAGATTATTTAAAAATTCGTCATTTTCTTCATTTTGAAAATGTTTTAAATTATTGAAAACGAAATAGAGTAATTCGTTCGGAACATAAACAATTGCGACCGCCATGTTCAAAAAGTGTATATATATATATATATATATATATATATATATATATATATATATATATATACCTCTTGTTGAACTCTTATTTAAAAAGCAAATAACTACACAGTGGGGTATTATTTTTAAATCGCACATGTCTTTCTGAAAACCTCGCACCAAAATATATATGTATATATATATATATATATATATATATATATATATATATATATATATATAATATGTATATATATGTATATATAACATTTTGTTAAATTATCACACATATTTACAAATAGCAAATATTTTTTGTTACTCCTCTTAAAAAATTTACACATTCCTACTTGTGAGTGTGTGAGCATTCATGCATATTTTAATGAATGGTTTAGTTCATATATTTGTATATGTGCAAATGTTTTTTGCACAGGCAAGGTAGGACCACACACACACACACACACATACGCGCAACACAGCACACACACGCGCGCGCGTGCACACACACGCACACAAACACACATACATACACTCACACACATACATATACATAGAAAACTCACACCTGCGTCGTTGCGAATTCACATAAAGACATTGCACTCGATTGCGTTAAATATTTACTATTTTGCACGTATAACTGTACGACCCTGCTTCTACCTTCTCTTACACTCAAACGTATCCGTGCGCCTCTGTGTGCTGAAATTTTTGAGTGAATAAATATTGAAGTAGTGTAGTGCACACGTGACATCTAGCGTGACATCTCCTATTTTCATTGTTTGTGAATGCATTTCAATTTTTTGCATTGTTTTCAAGTTGATATAATGTTATATTTGTTTTCAAATTCATTTTCTGTACGACATTGTAAGTGTCAGCGTGGTTTTGTACGCGTGCATCTGCATCTATATTCAAAAGCAATAATAACACAAGAATAATATGGTCAGTTGCTACAAAGATGGCCAATAAAATCAGCTTCAGATTGACACAATTTCACTCAAGTTTATATTATTTCTGTTTACAAACAAAGCTTATTTTATTTTTCAAAAAATATATTTTTTGTTGAATTTTCAAAATGAAACTATAAATGATGGGTAGATGGTAAAAGACGGAATGAGTACATTTAAAAAAAAATTTGAATTTTCGTTTTGTTTGTTTTGTTTGTAGCTGCACGTACGGCAGACGAGTTCATCTGACGCGCGTGTAATGGACCCGTTCACGTGTCTCAGTTCGTTTGTTTATGTATTATGCATGAAAAATTAAAAATAGCATTATAATGAAGATTAATGTAGGCTTTAAAATGGATGATGACAATTTTTTGAAAGTGTTACGTATAACTTGTAATGCTTCCATTTTAAAATTTGAGGCATCTTCCTGCAGTACCTACCTCGATGCATCGATGTATTTTAATGTAATCATCTTTTTTAACTTTCCCACCAATATGGAGTCATAATTTTTCTAATACGTTCTGCTTGCCACAAAACAAATACATGCGTGTGTGTCTTAAACGCAAGGTCTTCAAAAAATTATCTGCGAAATACATATCCAAAATATTTTAATGATTTGATGCTTTATATTTAATTTGCGTTGTGGTAAATAATTCGATCGGGATTGAATCAAAAATCTAAAAAACGGCATAACACGCTACTGAGCAGTCATCAACTTTACAGGGTTTCCCGAACATTTCCATTACTCTTTAAATACCATATTTTCATTTCTATCTTGAAATGTTACTGCAGCATCAGCGTTATCTTCGTTGACATCATTGAATTCCCGGCAACCAACCGCATAAAGCAAACATCGCATGGTGACACGCCAGCGCATTGCACAACCAGTTGACTAAAATAATACACACACGGGACGACCGCGCTGCATATCTCTCGGTCGTCATCTGCTCACGCCATCTTCATCCTTTTTAAACAAAAATATTCAAAATACAATTATAGCCACCTTCTTGAACTTATTTTATTTCGGTTTTTACTTTATCGTCTTTTTATTTAAAACAAAGTTCAATAAATTTACCGAAGCGTTAAGAAATATTTCCTTATTAAAAGATTTAAGCTAATGGCTAACTAAGATGTATCATTCCAAGAGCATATGGTTGTATCAGTAAATTTATGTTATTTTGTTATAAATGTCATGTTCCGCGTTAGTAAACTCCCTGCTTAATTTTTCGATTTTTCTAACAGTAGATCGCAAATCATTACAAAGTTTCTTGAGTTCAATACAAAAATTTTTATTTATTTTAAGCATGCTTTTTTCGGTATTCCTACACCATCTTCGGTGATGATATTTTGTGTATGTGGCCAAACTATGTATATCCTGTGTCTCTACACACACACACACAACACAACACACACACTCCCACACACACCAAACACACATACACACACAATACAACACGCACACTCCCACACACACACATACACACACACACACACACACACATATATATATAGTTATTAAGAGATATCGCCGCATTTTCCACTGAGTTTTTCAACTTTTCGAACAATTATTTTATCGATATTATTCAGTTTATTTAAATTAATAATAAAATATCTAATTATTTTAGACTGCATTTTCCATATATTCCTTTACATTAAAGCATTTTTCGGTAACCTTTACCATCATCAGCGTAAAATAGTTTTGTGGTATTGTTGTATGTAGTTAACCAGGTATTTATAGTATTTTTAAAAAAATCAAAAAAGGTCCTATAGACTCGAGAATGAATTGGAAAACCCTATATTATTCTAACATTAATAAAATAAATAATGACGAAAAGAATTTGGTTCGAAATATTGAGAAATGTAATAAAAAACTATCCAACGCTAGAAATTTGGTAGATTTCATAAATTACTGCATATGATGTGATTTACCAGCATATATATATATATATATATATATATATATATATATATATATATATATATATATATATATATTATTGGTAAACCATTACCCGCCATAGGCCAGACGTACGTTTCGTCTCTCGCGAGACTCGTCAGTAGCCTGCCGAATAAGGTTTAAGATAACACAACTCAATTATTGTAACCAAGAAACTCAAATTGAGGTGTTGCGACCAATAGGTAAGAACAACATCTCGTTGTTACAAGGTTTAAGAACCCATTCAGTCGCAGGAGGTATTATTGGTAAACCATTACCTGCCATAGGCCAGACGTACGTTTCGTCTCTCACGAGACTCGTCAGCAGTATATATATATATATATATATATATATATATATATATATATATATATACATATATATGGTTATCGCGGCTATTGTATTGTTTGTTTTCGCTCTGCTAGAGATTCTCGATTTTCGGAGTTTTAGTGTTGATTTTGTTTCTGAAAATTGGACATATTATTGCAATTAAATTCTAGATACTGTTTTAATTTAATTCAATATTTAAAGTTGCGTATTTTTGGCATTTGAATCGAATTTTCATAGAGTTTATTTAGTCACGTGTTAATTGCAGTGTACAGTTTTGTTCCACCTGTTATTATAAATACACGTCAAAATCCAGGTAAGAAAGACGGTGTACTTACGTTGAAACAGCTTCAATGTTTTCAGTGTGAGTGCACGGCTAATGTTGATTCAATGTCTGACGAGGTTTATTCAGTTGTACGTTTAAACGGTAACATTAAATGGTTCTGTGATAAATGTGTAAAAAACGTTTGTGACATGAAACTGTTATCTAAATCTATTGATGACATAAAAGTTACGTTCAATGAAAAGTTAGACAAACTCAACGATGTTAATGCTTCAATTAAGACTAAATTGGAAGAAACTGATTTGGGGCTGTTGAATAAATCGATTGATGAAATCAGTAAATCTCTTGATGAAAAAGTTAATGCCATCAGTGCCAACCACGTCGCTATAAAATCGCAGCTGGACTCGATTGAGTGCACATCGGGAAAAAAGTTAAATCAAGAGATAAGTGGCCTCAAGTCTGAAATGATGAGATCTTTTGCTAGTGTGGTCAGCACTGAAGTGAAACAGAGTGCTAAGATCATCAATGAAGATCTTAAAAATGTTCGAAAAACACTAAATGATGTTGCCGATGCTAAAGAAAGAGAGGCTAATGCGATGCTGTTCAGGCTGGGAGAAGGCCTTGATGACAAGGATCGGGTCATAAAAATGATTGCAAAATTGACTGATGACACTGTCAACGGAAAAAATATACTAAAAGTTTTTAGATTGGGTAAGAGAGGTGAAGGAGTTGTCAGGCCAATCCTAACAGAAACCGAACTTAAAGGCATCACAATGAATTCTCCTTCAAAAACAAGTTCACAAGATATTTTTCCGACGCATATTTTTAAGAAATATATACACTTGTTTATCTGCTTTCTTACAAGTTTTTTCAATCTCTGCCTGAGGTTGGGTAAATTTCCTGCTAGGTTCAAACATGCTATGGTTGTCCCGATTTTAAAAAAAGCCAATGGTGATGTCAACGATGTTGCAAGCTACAGGCCGATATCCAACCTTCTGTTTATCTCAAAGATCATGGAGCGCGTTGTTCTCAAGTTTTTGTTGAATCATCTAACAGAAAACAATTTAATGCCTCTCAATCAATCAGGATATAGGAAGTTTCATTCAACCGAAACTGCATTATTGAATGTCCTATCAAGTTTATTCGCCGCTGCAGATGCTCAGAGAATATCATTACTATCGTTTTTGGATATGTCGGCAGCGTTTGACTGCGTCAACCATGATGTTTTTCTGGCAAAACTGCGTCAAAATTACGGAGTAACGAATAATGTATATAGATGGTTTGAATCATACTTATCAAATCGGACACAACAGGTTTTATTTAATGACTCAGTGTCAGAGGTTTCCATCATAACGTCAGGGGTACCTCAAGGCTCAGTTTTGGGACCCGTTCTTTTTCTTCTGTACACGTCGGAAATTACCAAAATAATCAGCTCCTACGGATATGTCTGCCATGCATTTGCAGATGATATTCAGGTGTTGGTTACTAGTTCTCCTTGTTTGTTCAAAACTGAAGTTGAGAGATTTATCGGATGTTTATCAGAGGTAGGACGTTGGATGTCATCAAACTCGTTAAAACTAAACGAATGCAAAACTCAATTACTTCCGGTTGGAACGTGGCAGCAATTGCTGAAAATTGATTTTAGTTCTGTTAAAATAGGAGATGTTGATATACCATTAGCTGATACTGCTTCCAACCTGGGTGTTTTGCTTGACAACAAGTTATCAATGAAAAATCACATCAAAAAGATCTGTACATCAAGTCTTATCCACCTTAGAAGCATGTATAAAATTCGACATTCGTTGGATAAACCTACTTTGGAAACGTTGGTCTACGCCTTCACATCTCGTTTGGACTACTGCAACAGTTTGTTCTACAAATTGCCGGAATCATCAGTTGCCGTCCTTCAGTCGGTGCAGAACAGAGCTGCAAAACTTGTTGCTGGTGGTTTGAAGTATGATCACGTGACACCGATTTTGAATGAACTACACTGGTTGACAATTAACAAAAGGATAGTCTTTAAAATTGCAGTTCTCATGTTCAAGTCTATAAATGACATGTCACCTGAATACATGAAAAATAAATTTACCAGAAAACAAACGGCATCATCTTCCTATCTCAGGTCGGATGATTTGAATCTGCTAAGGGTGCCAGTCACGCGTTTGCAAATTGGTTCTAGGGACATTGCCGTGGCTGGTCCCTCTGTTTGGAATAACCTTCCACCTATGTTAAGAAGATCGGGAACTATATATATATATATATATATATATATATATATATATATATATATATATATATATATATATATATACTGTGCCTCTACTCTACTTTGTTGATTCCTTGTTTGTTTAAAGTGAATACATAGTTTTACAAACTTCAACATCGTAAAATATAACACTTTTATGTGTTTTCATTATCGATAAATAAAACATTTTTACGTGCTTTCATTATCATTATCTATCCATCCATCCATTCATCTATCCATCCATATATCCATCTATCCATCCATCCATCTATCCATCTATTTATACATCCATTTATCCATCTATCTATTTATCAATATTTCTTTGTTATACCAACGCAAATTTCATAACTTTTTGTATCGTCAATAAATATTGATGTTATTACGAAAATTCACCCATGAATAATTTATTACAAAACTTCAGCGCACATGTAACTTGATCATTTTTTCAGCTCCCTTAAGCACGCTGATCATAAACAGTGTTGATGATGAAGCCATCATCTCATCCTTGCCACCATTTTCAAAATCATCATCGCCATCGTTCCAAGAGCACCATCAAACAATGAAGCTGGATCATCACTATCAACACTACAAAGATGAGGATATCGGTGCATTTGAAAGCAAGAACGAAGCCGACAGTATGAATGGATATTACTACGATGATGACGGTGTGGACGACGCTGGCAGAAGCAGCAACTCCTTTCATAATTACAGCAAAAATAAATTCACGAACGTCACCCATTCGAATAGAATTTCAACCTTAACGCAACGACAAGTCGCACAAACATTTTCACCACCGCGCCCACAATCATTAACCGTTCATTCGACTTCTCCTCCCAACCACTACGACAGCCATCCTAGCCTTGTTGGAGTCATGGAATCGCTGGAGTCTCTAGAACAAGAGATTCAAAGACTTTACGTTGAGAAAAATGGAAAAGAAGAAAGTGGCAGTCATTACATTGTTGAAGACGTCGATTCCATATCACTCAACAAAACTGGCAACAATTATTTCAGCGCTGAACACGTTCACAGAAATCTCAATAACAAAATTAATTCTAACTACACACAATCTAAATATAATTCTTTAGTTGGCACGCCTGCATCTCATATCGGTCGCAATGTAACTTACGTGGCTGGGAGAGCCAGCAGATTAAGTTGCATCGCCAGTGGCTTTTATCCACCTGTGACTCTCAGCGTTCTCGTTGCTCAGATAAACATCAGCAACAACATGATGTTTCATCAGAGGATGTGGCTTGGTGAAGGTCCGTATTCAGGATTATAAGAATTGCGCGTGTCATAATATTTTAATGATTAACAAAACAAAAGTTTAATTTTTAAACAAATATTAACTCAATAAAAATCTTTGCAAATATTAGCTCAGATAGCATTAAAAATATATTTACAAAGGTGTAAAAGGTTTCAGACCGATCCATTTTGAGAGTATTAGATGGATGGACACTTTCAAACCCACAGCAGACAACGATGGAAGTGAGGTAGCGTGCGTGGCCACACTATCAACGAGCAGTGCGTCGACTTCTAACAACTACACTTTTCTTCATCTTCTTGTCAACTGTTTGTTCTTTCGTTTTATTTATTAATTTATTAATTACAATAAATGACTAAATAACATTTTTTGCTTATTGTGTTATTATCATACAAAAAAATTACTGTTCTAAAAAACGTAGAAAAAATTTTTCACACAAATGTTTACATTCATTTTTGTTTTGTTATTTTTTTTAGGAACAACTAATATCCATAAAAACACTTACAAAAAAGCATGCACCATGCCTCAGATGCACCGATAGTCAGTTGCAGTGCCCTCCATGCCCAGCTGAACCAAGCGGAAGCAGTGCTCACCTGTTCAATCAGAGCGCAGCCAGGTGTCGTGTCCATACTCTGGCACTATCCGAACAACCAACAGGGCAACGCAACACGTCACCAGCAACACCATCAACAACAGAAGTATCTTGGTGCCGATGAAAACAGCATGCAAAACAGAGTGGTTAGCATTTGTCTTTACTCGTGCTTGTCTATCATGTTCTAGTTTTCCATGTAACCGCTCATGCATCTGTTTTTTAGCGTGTGATTATCACAGAGGTGAGTCTTTTTTTGCCTCCTGTCGACAAATACACACGCGTGCCTTCCTCTATACTTGATGTTTAAAGAGATTTTTTAAAATTTAATAATGATAGAATGATGATATTAACATGTTGTAATAATGAGGACAGAGCGATGGTGTAAGATTAAATTTCAAAATAAGCACGCTCGGCCGACAATTTATAATTTACGATGTTAACGGTCACCATCCTTTATCGTGAGAACGGCATTGTAACAAAATTATTTATTGAAAATGTGGTGAAAATGACAGTAACATAATGGCGAAAATAAATTTTGTAAATTTTAAATGTAAAATTTGTAAAGAATAATCCTGATCATAATTAATGTTTTAAAATACAAATAACTGAAAAATGATCACAATAAAAATGATAATTGCAAAAACGAGTTGCTAATTTTGTAACGCTGACGATCAACTGCGTTCACGTTTTTACGTGAATTTACTGTCCCTTATTTACGTGACCTAATCAGAAGCGGAGTAAGAATAAGGCTTATATCACCATCACCATTATTTTTCATCATATCCATCCTTATTATTCATCTTGTTAGCATCATCACGGTTGTGACTATTTTGTTTTCATCGCTCTTATTACTAGCGCTTCTAAAATCTTCGCTGTATCAATGTATCATGTTGGTTATCGATATTTTTTTCTTTCTCTTTTTCATCAACATCATCATCATCATCTTCTTCTTCATCATCATCGACATCATCATCAACATCATCAACAACATCATCATCATCATTATCATCATCATCCTCAACATCATGTCAACCTTATGATTGCTGTCTTCATAGTTTATTGATATTGTCGTCCTGGAGTTCATCTTTGTTATATTACATATTATACCTTCATGATGTTGTTGATGTTGATAATGAATTTTTGGTAAGCTGATGAAACTTCGTTCTATATGTAAACTACTCATTCAATTTATTTTGAGTTAATATTTGCTGTTGCAGATTATTCAATACTAATGCTTTGCATGCTGTAACAGTTTCTGCGTCGGTCAGATTCTGATTTTTTAAAGAATAATATAAAAAAATATACGCCAAGCAATAGTTATTTCATTGCCACACTCTGCTCAACAATCCGACAAAACGTTTCGAACTCATCTACTAACGATATTTTATTTCAGACCTCTACTTATATATTCATAAAAATTAATTTGCTGTTAAACGGTACAAAAGCTGATAATACGTCAGAATGTAGTTTCTAACTGAAATATAGTTTGAAATTAATTGGCGTGTATATGATATACGTATGTAAATGTTAGTGTTTTTTGGCAATATTTTTATATAATACGTTGTATATTAATAATGTCGGCATCTTCATATTTGGAAATTTACAAATTGGTTTCAAACGCGGTCTCTTCACGTGGGCCTTTGCTTGATGTCTGATCAAAATATTGAGGGAGTGTTAAAAATGAACTTATGGAGAAGGCATTTGTAGTGTTGTGTTTCTGTGCTAACGTATTTTTTGAAGTGGTAGGATTGTTGTATACAAAGAATTGAAAAGGACCAAATTGTGTTGGCTCGCTTTAATTTGGAATGAGAGAAGCTGGGGTGGCAAATATCCAATGAGGCTAATTGTATTCCAATGCTTGGTCAGAAACGCGTAATTTGATTTATTGCGGTGAGTACTGTTGAAAACGGAGAGAAAACTATTTCTTCACTCTTTTTTATAAGTTTCCGGCAGGCATTTCCTACCTTTCAGTTCTAAATTTTTATATCGTAATATACTTTTTATCTAGCTAGTTTATAAACTACCCCCTAAACAAATTAAACGAAGATTGTAGAATCCGAGAAATAATGGATGTATTTTAATATAAATTTATTTATGTGTGATGTTTGTCTCAATATATATGAAACAAAATTTATAATTAAAGTGTGTAGCGCAATTAGGTTTCCTGTGTGGAAATGCACAAAAATGTACACAAAAGTTGTCAGGAGTGTACACAAATTATTATTTGTTAAATAAAATCATTAAATTTTTTGAACTTATGCATTATAATGTCTAATTGTTTTGTTGTGTTACTCAGACTGAGGAGATGATTTGATGATTGTATGACCCTCTTTTTACTCTGAGAACTGTTTAAAAGGGAATTGATGATAATAATAATAATAATAATAATATTATTATTATAAATTATATGATGAACGATTTTATGTTTTGCACAATGGATCTAACAATTGTGCAAGTACAGATTGCATGATTGATTGGAACCACGTCTGGAGTGCAGTGTACACACAATAACGAGGAATCAAAAATCTTTGACTCCCATTAACCAGCATATCATCCTATCAACAATTTAATCAATCATGTAATCGTTCCAGCAACTCATTGTAATATAATAGCCCACATAAAATTTTGATATGAAAACTATGTAACCATTAAACGATACACATTATGCAATGTTATTAAATAATCACTTTTTATTATTTGTTTTATTTCAAACTTTATAGAATAATTTAATATAAAAAGTTATTTTATATAAATTAATTATATAAAATCGAACGGAACAATTTATTCAATTTTTTCAAACATTAACACATTTTTGAGTGAATGAATAGGAATAGTCAATAATAAACCAAAGAAGCAAAGTGACAACTGTTTGCTTCCCTTAAACGATTAACTCATACTTATCTTCTTACCTACCACTTTACCTACCTACCTTTTTATTAAATACATTTACTTTACCTACCTACCTACCTACCTACCTACCCTAACTATCTACCTACATACCTACCTAAATTTCTATCTACCTACCTGCCTGCCTGCCTACCTGCCTACCTACCTGCCTACCTACCTACCTACCTACCCACCCACCCCTACCACCTACCAACCAGCCAACCAACAACCAACTTTAATTAATTTCCTTTCAAAATAATCAGCAAAACAAGCAGACTTAATGAAGAAGTTTTTTCCCTCAATAAAGTGCTTATAAATCAATGTACATAATCTCGTTCCATCACATACATATACGTACACTGTACAGATACAACGCTTGCACAAACAATCGTTGAAACCTACGCTACTACACTCATGCAATGTATGAGTATCTGTGTTGTGTGTGTATGCTTATTTACCATATATAAATATATATATTTATTTATTTAAATTTGTTAATACTTATTCCCTGAATTATTTAACGTGAAAAATTTTGTTTCTGTGATTAGTAAATAAATTACTTTCATTCGTGTCATTAATTTATTAATAAACTGAAATTTTCAATAAGTTGACCTGTTAAATGAAGCGTATATGAATATGTATATGTGTATGTATTAGTTGCTGTACGTACCTACGTACGTATATATGTATGTGTGTATATGTGTGTATAAGTGTATGTATGTGTGTATATGTGTATGTATGTATGTATAAATGTATGTATGTATAAACGTATGTATGTATGAATGTATATATGTATGTATCAAATCAAATATTGTATTTATATAGCGCCAATTATAATTGCTTCTCATCAGCGCTCTCCTCGTATGAAGCATGTTGAAAGCGAAGCCATCATCGGTTGAGATCACTAGGAGTTACGTCTTTAGACGTTTTCTAAACTCAGCTAATGATAACCCGGATATACGTAGTTCGATAGGTAGGCTGTTCCAAAAAATAGGCCAGGCAACTGCAAAATCTCTATCTGCTGTTTTCAGATTCCGATCTCTAACATACAGCGTGTTTGAATCAGCAGACCTTAGACGCCCATGTGATGACATAGATGAAACTCGAATACACTTATCTTTTAAATATTTTGGAGCCAGACCATTCAAACTTTTAAATACCATTACACCCAACTTGAACATGATTCTTTGTTTAACACGCAGCCAAAGCAACTCCTTTAGAATTAGTGATGCATGATCAAATTTTAATTTGCGATATATCATTCTAGCAGCCTGATTCTGAACCATCTGAAGTTTAGACAACAGTTCATCAGCTATGCCATGTAGAAGACTGTTACAATAATCCAATCTAGAGTTGACGAAAGCATGTACTAATAGAGTCATTGTATCTCTATCTATTTTGTGACTTGACGTAATTGACGTAGTTGGAACATACATTTTTTAACCAATAGACTGACTTGTGGACCCATTGTCATACGGAAGTCCATCACAATTCCCAAATTGGTAACCGTTTTACTGAAACTTATATCAGCCATGCTGATGTTAAACGATGAAGGTTCAACCACTGACGTTTGTTGCCATGTACCAGCCAACATGTATGTATGCATGTATGTATGTTTGTATGCATGCATGCATGCATGTATGTATGTATGCATGTATGTAAATATGTATGTATGTTAAAACCAAAACATGATGAGTGACACTGAACCGTCAAACATCAAGTAACAAATGGATTAACACTTTGGTGTTATAGAGATGTATGTATGCATGTATGTATGTATGTATGCATGTATGTTTGTATGTATGTATGTATGTATGTATGTATGTATGTATGTATGTATGTATGTATGTATGTATGTATGTATGTATGTATGTATGTATGTATGTATGTATGTATGTATGTATGTATGTATGTTAAAACCAAAACATGATGAGTGACACTGAACCGTCAAACATCAAGTAACAAATGGATTAACACTTTGATTTGTCGTTAATTGCACATGTCGGCATTCAGTTCAGACACGCAGGAACCGCTGCAACAAGCACAAAATGTGGTTAGTTGCGAAAAACAGTTCCCTGCTGTCGCCTGATCTGACGCTGATCATTTTGCATATTTCCTTAAGAAATTTAAGGGTGTTGGGATCCATCGGGCCAAGAACCTCGATGCATATTGGCAAGAATTCCATTGAGGGGAGGGCATTCCCATATTTTTCATTTTCTCGTCCGCTGCCCTGGCCGCGGTCAAACCGCATTCTTTACTTGTCAGGTTTACGTATCGTTCGGCGAGGGTGCCAGGGACCGTAACATCCCACGCCAAACATCTGCCGGCTCTCCAAGGTATTAGCGTGCATCCGTCCGGGCGCCTACTATCATGCGCAGAAATGCCGGATGGTTCCTTGAGAACCGGGATTGAAGCCTTGGAGAAGAGCCGACAAATGTAATCGTTTAGCACTGAGTGACGTAGTTGACGGCCCCCACCCAGGCGACAAACCAAACCGTGGTGCCCAAACTCGTCCGCCCCAGCGCCACATCGGCACGTGTATTTATTCTGAATGACCAGGCCAAGTCTGAAGCCAATGGCAAATCTCACAGACTCGTCGTCAAGCCTGGTGCCCACAAAGGTGTTAGGCCACCATCTCAACCACCCACAGCTGGCAACGCTGGACATGGCCAACAAACGAGCGGTGGAAAAGTCGTCGCCGCATGAAGACAAAAAATTTTGAAAAATTTTTTTATATTCTTTGTTCAAAATTTGGACGTGCCTACGGTCCCTCGGGGCGGACACTGGGGGAAGAATATCGCGGCAACGAAAAAACCGGTGGAGCAGGGAAGACTGCAGGTCGAGAGTGGCAGCGGCAGAAGAATTATAAACAACGGGAGCCAGCTGAACCACGCTAAGCAACCCCAGCCCACCAAATCGCACCGGCAGCTGAGCCTGGGACCAATCACTGTCAGTCACTTGAACATTGCAAATCGACAACAGGGCGGTGCGCAGGGCTCCGTCAAATTTGCCCAATTTAGAAGGGTTAATGTGTTTAGATGTACGCAGGAAGTACATCAATTTGGGCAAACTGAGGGCATTGCGGATAATAGCCAAGGCATCATGGGCCGAAAGACAGGAAACACGACCCAGGGCGAATTTAAGCTCAGAGAGCTTTTGATCAAAAAACTTTATTTGATAATTGCCCTCGACCAAGGGTGTGCCTAAAAAACTCAGTTCTGATGCACCAACTCTGGGTATTTCAGCCAGCGCATGTGGCACCTGAAATAAACTTTGGCAGTGAAGTTCGCATTTTTTAATGTTTAACTCTAAGCCAATTGCAGCGGAGTTATGCTTCAAATATTCGTAGCTATCGGCCAGAGTTGGACCGTCCGAAGCTATGCTGATATCATCCAGATAAGCGCAAACGAAAGTGGACGAAGCTTTCTCTAAGAGTGGATGAAGAGTTAGTGCGAACAACAAAGGACCAAGGGGATCACCCTGCTGTACCCCCTCGGACGATTCTACAACCCAAGAGTGGTAGCTAAGGGAAGAGACTCCGCCATAGGCAGAATGGCAAAAATTATAGATATTGGGGCAAAAAAGTTTGACAGCCTCCAACATCGAGTCTCTTCTCAAGGCATTGAAGGCATTTTAAAGTCCAGTTCAGAAACCCCCATA